CCGGGGCCGCGCCCTCAGCTGGTCCGTTGGGTGCCCTGGCCGCGGCGGCCCTCCTCTCCGCCCTCTCCCTTCTCCGAACCAACGGAGAAGTCACGTCTCTCATCTGAAACCCGACTTCCTAGTCTGTAAAGCTGGGGTCACGCCGCCTCCCCCTTCCATCGTCTCCACTTACTGAAATACAGCCGGCCCGCCTTCTGGGGTCCCCAGTCACGGAATGTCCCAACCTTGGACGGAAACTATTCGGAAAAAAGATTGCTGTACTAAACAAGTACAGTCTATTTCCTTGCGGTTATTGACTTAGCAACACTGTATAACGAATGTTTACGTAGCGCTTACACAGTATTGGGTATTATACATAATTAAGACGTAAAGATATTTTAGGTGCGTTAAGTTATATGCAGATACTACGTGATTTTATTATGCAAAACACCTTAGCATCCATGGAATTGAAGGTGGTGTGGCCTGGAACCAAACCTCCGTGGATACTGAGGGATACCTCTTCAACTCCGTTAAGTCTTAGCCACCCAACCAGCTTTGCAAACCCTTACCACTTTCCTGTATGAATTCGACCGATTCTTTAACAAGACGGAAGAGGGCGCCCGCTTTTAAAAAATAAAATAGAGTTTGAAAAGATGCATCTGATAGCCTAGTTTTCTTCCGAAGGTGAGATTGTAGTTCATTTATTGTACTTGTCAGTGTTACAACTTTTCTGTATGTATCATGAAGTTTTAAAATGAAATTAATTTCTAAAAAATTTCTGTCGTGCGGGCCGGCGGGTGGCATGGTGGTTAAAGGCACTGGACTCCCATGTGGCCAACTGCAATTCCGGTGGAGACCTGGAGGCTTGCTTTCTCACACTCTGTCTCTCACTCTGTCCCTCTCTGGTCAAATTTTAGAAATAAATAAAATCATTATTTTTTTTAAAAAATTTCTCTTGTGGGGCCTGCAGGTGGTGTGGTGGTTAAGGGGGCTGGGCTCCCACGTAGTCAACAGCGTTTTGAATCCCAGACCTGCTGGCTTGCTTTCATGCTTTCTCTCTCTCTCTCTGTCCCTCTCTGGTCAAATTAAAATAAATAAATAAATAAAGTTAAATAAAATACTTGCTAAACTGGAAACAGTCCATAATGTTACTGTTTTACTTCTCTCCTTGTCATCCTTTTGGGTGCTTGTCACTTTCCTCACGAAGCACAGAATATGGCACCCTATGTACTTTTTTTTTTTTTTTTTTAGAATTGTTCATTTCATTTTATTTATTATCATTATTTAATTTGACTTGGAGAGAAACAGAGAGAAAGAGAAAGTGAGAAAGCAAGCCACCAGGTCTGGGACACAGACTGTGGTCAGCCACGTGGGAATCCAGCACCTTAACCACTGCCACCTGCTAGTCCCCACAATATTCACTCTAATGTTGGTCGAATTCGGGGTTTTTTTTTTTGACTGCCTTACAGAGATTGTGAGACTCTCATTCTTTAGGCCATCTCATACATTTCCAGAGATAATGGCTCACACATCCTCGTCTTCACTCCAGATCAGTCTGAGCTGATCCACACTTTTAGCTGCCCATGGGACACCCAGTCCCAAAGTATACCAGTCTAGACATACGAGATATTCTACTTATCCTTTTGTCCTTCATTTACTCTTTTTTCTTTTTTTTTTTTTTCTGGAGAGGGTTTTGCAATAGTATGTGTTTGCTTGCCAGAAAGAGAGAGAAAGTGAGAAATCACCCCCCAGGAGGGATGGCCACTTTGCAATCTCTTCTCCTCCATTCTCCTGTCAGGATCTTGGGCATGCACACACTTGGGGATCCAGCACCTTTAAGCCGCTGGGTCCGAGATTTAAACCATGGTAGACTATATGGGAGTCCAGCTACCTAATCATTATGCCATCTGCTGGTCCCATGTCCTTCATTTGTTCTTCCTTTGTTTATGTAGATACAAGTTTCTGATTTTTATCATTTTCCTTTTTTTAGAATTATTTAATGTAACCATTATTATATTTTTAATGTGTTACAGGGCACATACACTTACCAGAGAAGAGACAGTGTGTGTGTGGAGGGATGAGTGAGAAAACAAGTCCAGGACTCAAACTGCAGTCTGCCATATGGGATCCAGCACCTTAACCACCATGCCACCTCTTGGCCCCTCATTTTCCTTTTTTCTAGTGAATTTCTTTTTTTTAAAAAATCTTTTTTGGGGAAACCAGCAGTTAGCGTAATGGCTATGTCGCTGGACTCCCACGTAGTCGACAGCGGTTCGTGTCCTGGACCCGGTGGCTTAAAACTCACGCCGGGCGTGTGTGCGTGCGGGCCCAAGATCCCAAGAGGAGAATGGAGGAGAAGGGATTGCGGCGTGACCATCCCCCCTGGGGGGTGATTTCTCGCTTTCTGTCTCGATGTCTCTCTCTGTCTGTCTGGCGAGCGCACGCGCCCTACAGTGAAAATCTCTCCCCCCCAAAAAAAAATCTTTTTTAAAAAAAATTATTATGGGACCAGCAGTTAGCATAATGGCTATGTCGCTGGACTCCCACGTAGTTGACCACGGTTCAAGTCCCGGACCCGGTGGCTTAAACTCATCCTGGGCGTATGTGCCTGTGTGCCCCAGATCCCAAGAGGAGAATGGAGGAGAAGAGATTACAGCGTGGCCATCCCCTCTGGGGGGTGATTTCTCGCTTTCTATCTCTCTCTCTCTCTCTCTGTCTGGCGAGTGCATGCACCCTATAGCAAAAACCTCTCAAAAATTATTATCATTATTTTTCAATTTTGAAAAAAGAGAGACAGAGAGCAAGCTGCCAGGTCCAGGATTTGAACCGTGTTTGGCCATATGAGAGTCCAACACCTTTAACCACTACATCACCCACTGGCCCCCGAATGTATTTCTTTTAACAGTGCTTCATATGGCAGGTCTACTGGTGACAAAGATCCTTAATTTTTGTCTGAAAAGGTCTTATTTCTCCTTCCCTTTTGAAGAATAATTTCTCTGTACACAGAATTCTATGTTAGTGGGCTGTTTTCCCTTAAACACTTTAAATGTTTTACTCTACTCTCTTTTTTTGTGCGTGGTTTCTGAAGTCTGATGTAATTCTTACCCTTGTTCCTCTATAGATAAGGTTCCCTGCCCCATACCCCAGCCCCTCCTCCAGCTTCTTTCAAAATTTTCTCATCTTTGCTTTTCTATTGTTTGAATGTAATAGGTCTAGGGGTGTGGGTGTGTGAGAGAGAGAGAGAGAGAAAAAAATATATATATATTTTTGGAGAGGTTTTTGCTATAGGGCACGTGCGCTCGCGAGACAGAGACATAGAGACAGAAAGCGAGAAATCACCCCCCAGAGGGGATGGCCATGCCGCAGTCCCTTCTCCTCCGTTCTCCTTTCGGGATCTTGGGCACGCACGCACACGCGCCCGGCGTGAGTTTTAAGCCACCGGGTACGGGACTTGAACCGTGGTCGACTATGTGGGAGTCCAGCGACATAGCCGTTACGCTAACTGCTGGTCCCTGAGAAAATATATATATATATGTATTTATATTTACACCACTTGGTGTTCTTTAGCTTCCTGGACCTGTATTTTGTGTCTTTCGTTAATTTTGGGAAATTCTTAGTCATTATTGATTCAAATATTTCTTTTGTTCCTTTTTTCTCTGCTAGTCATACTATGTGTATGGCATCCTTTTTGCAACTGACCCCAGTGTTTGGATATTCCGTTCTGCCTTTTCTCTTTGCATTTCAATTTTGGAAATTTCTATAGATATTTCTTTCAACTCAGTGATTCCTAGGCTATGTCCAGGCTACTGATGAGCCCATTAAAATCAGTCTTCAGGGCCGGCAAGTGGCATGGTGGTTAAAGGCGCTGGCCTCCCACATGGCCAACCACGGTTCAAGTCTCGGACCTGGTGGCTTGCTTTCTCACTTCCTCTCTCTCTCCCTGTCTCTCTCTGATCAAACTGGAAAATAATAATAAATAAAGTTAAATAAAGTAATTTTTTAAAAAATCAGTCTTCATTTCTGTCACGGTGTTTATTTCTACTATATCCTTGTGGGTCTTAGAATTTCTCTCTACTTACATTACCCACATGTTCTTGCACGCCATCTGCTTTTTTCATTACTTTCTAGCATATTGACCATAGTTGCTTTTAATTCTTGGTTTGAGATTCCATTGTCTTTGTTTTATCTAAATCAGTTCAGATACTTTCTCTGTCTCTTCAAACTATGTTTTTATTTATTTTATTTATTTTTGTCTTTTAGTGTGCTGTGTAATTTTTTGTTGAAATTCAGATGTAAGGATAAAAGGAACTGAGGTGAATAAGCTGTTAATGTGACGTTTATGTTTTTCTAGCTAGGAGTTAGGATGTGTTTATTGTTTGCTGTAGCTGTAGGTGTCAGAGCTGTAGCTGTCTCCCCTGTATTGTTTGGTGTTCCTTGAAAACATTTTTAGAGAGATTTTTACTATAAGTTACTTGCACTTGCCAGAGAGACAGAGAGAGAGAGAGAGAGAAAGTACTA